ACGCACCCTGCGGCGTGCGCCTGTCTATGAAGGCCTTTCCAGGCCGCTGGCCGCCCCCAGGGAAGCTGATCGGGGAGCTGACAGGACCTCAGCCTCGGCCGGGACTCCCAGGGCCTCAGACAAGCAGGGCGGCACTCACCGTCCGAAGCTGCCGGTGACCGGGAAGGAAGAGAAGAAGGAGCCCAGAATGTTGGTCAGGCCTGGGCATGAAGCGGGAGAGGGTTACCGGGAGGGAGAACCAGGCGGAGGTGGCGGACGGAGTGAAGCCAGAAGGAAACAGGAGATGGGGGGTTGGGGGGAGGTCTGGGGATGCCCCATTCCTGACGGGAAGGACGAAGATGCCAAGCTCCCCAGTGGATGCTCGCTTTCCTGCTGTGGGAGTTAACATGCCCTCTTCCCGCAGGACAGAGAGGCCCCCCAGCAGGGGACGGCGAGTTCACAACGGGTCCCCAGCATCCACTGCACATGATAACCCAGTGGACGGAGCCCGCCCGGGCCAGGCACGGGCCTAAGGACCGAGCTCGCTGGCCCACGTCCATCGGCGCACAGCGTCCGCCTCCTCCAGGGACCGTCACAAAGACCACGGTCTCCCCTGCTTCTGAAAAACCCACCACGGGACCCAGGTCCAAGTCCTGCTCCGGGTGGGTCCACTCAGAACCAGGACCTGCTTATGTTCTAAGATCCAGCCAGACATCAGCTGGCCAAGGCCACGGTCACCCCTAGGCTCATTGATGTTTCTCTCTCTCTCCCTCCCTTCCTCTCTGCAATCAATGAAAAATATATACATTAAAAATATATATACATATATGTCTCTTTACTTAAAAGCAGCAACGATCACAGAATTGAAGACTCACGCCGTGGTCTCAAAAGGAACCACCACAGAGGCCGGGGCCACAAAGACAAAAGAAAAGGAAGTGTGACGTCTGGCACAGGCCCCTCCCGGCCAGGCAGCCACGGCCTGGGGGGGCACCGCACCCCAGCAGAGTCAACCTGGCCCCGAGGGGAGGCGCCCTTGGCATGAAACCGGCCGCAGGCCCAGGGTGTGGTCCACAGCGGCTCAGTAAGCTGCAGTCCGATGGGCCAGCTCCCTCCGCGAGCAGCTGAGCCCCGCGGGGACCTAAGAGGGAGTCCAGGCTAACACCGCCAGGACGGGCATCACTACCCCCGGCCCAACTCGACAGGCGGAGATGCGCCCGGCGGGCCTCACCGATGGACAGCAGCTCCTGGTTGGCGTCGATGCGGTAGTTATTCTGAGACGCTGAAGAGAAGGAACGATAAAGCCCGTCACCACACAGAAGACCTCACTGGGAAAATGTTCATGAGATGAAAAACAGGCTACACATTCCCACCTACAGCACTCGGTCTGGAAGCGTAAGCGTAAACATCCATGAACCACACGCGAACGTACACGCACACGCGGTGTGTGTCTGTGGGTTTCAGACGAAAGCGGGCGAGCGAGGCAGGCGGTGTCTTACCGAAGGCCTTGGCCACGGCGATGCTCTCCAGCAGCCCCATCAGCGGCACCACGGCCAGCCCGGCCCCCATGTCCTGAGGGGAGAGGGAGGGCGAGTGACCCGCGGGGCAGGAAAGGGCTCCCCTTTCCCACCAGCCTGTGCGGCTCAGGGGTTGATCATCTAACTATGAACCAAGGTTGCCAGTTCGGTTCCGGTCAGGACCCAGGCCGGGGTTCCGGGCCCATCCCCAGCTGAGGGGGGTGGAGGGGCATGCAGGAGGCAGCTGATGATGATTCTCTCTCATCATTGATGTTTCTCTCTCTCTCCTTCTCCCTTCCTCTCGGAAATCAATAAACATATTTTTTAAAAAATAAAGGGCAGGAAGGGGCCGAGTAGGGAAGAAGGGCAGGTACACACCCGGGACAACACAGGCTTTCAAGGAAAGAAAAAAGGGCTTCCCTTCCCGATGCCGCCGCAGCTCAGGGTCACACCACCATCAGTTTGTAGCGGGTCCGACTCCCATCTTCCTTAATTTTGTGTTTCTGATCATCTTTTTGTTGTTTCGGTTTCGTGTGGTTTTGCGTGGGACGGGGGGCGGGGTATCTTGGAATCCTGCTCTGTGAAGCCAGAGCAGACACCGGCCTCCCACAGGCACAGGAGGCACACGCACTCGGCTACAGGGCTGTGAGCTGGCAGC